TATGTTCCAAGAGTATTTTAATTACCTCGCAAAATACTTTTAAAAAATGCACTTCAACATTTTTTCACATGTAACATATCATTTTCAAAATGCAAACATCCTTCCATATTGGATAGAGAATTGTCTTGGGGTTAGAAAAATCTTACCACAAGTACAACAACTAATTATGGTGTTGTGCACCACTTGAGCACAAAACATCCTGGCAAGACTTAAATTCATTATTCAGAAGAAAGATCGCCCCCCCCCCACCCCCCCATGATCCACAACAACCCTGTGTCAGATATGAGTGCCTGATAGGAACTGTATGCTGTAGTTGTTCTCCTCATACCTTCCAGGAGTTGCTTTGGTCGAGATCACATAGTCAGTTCTTTGTTGATGTCCATCTCCACCAGTTAAACCCTGCCAAATAAAAATTCACATACAACAGTATTGTCATTCAAATGCAAATATGCCGCCATGCCTTGGAGCCTTTTGTTTAAAATAAATTGTGTGAGCATGTGTAAGAATATTTGAGCATGTGCAAAGCAATTTAAATTGTCCAGAGATGCACCTGATGCCACTGTGCAGTACTGTAAAATATAGGTCAGCATATGGGCATGTGCTTTTTCTATAATTTGAACTTTCAATTGGCAATGTAGTATCCAGTTTCCAACTTTTCATTTTAGTCTTACACTAATTCATCAAAAGAGAGAGGGGACGGTGGTGCGTAACCCCCCTATTACTTGTCTTCAGTTGATCTTCAACTGGACACGTAACTATGTGGGATTATTAAGTTTACCTATACAGTATGAGACCATGTCATCATACCTGCCTGGGTTTTCCTTCTTGCCATACCTACCATTAAATCGTTAAAGAAATTGTACACATTAGAAATTTACCAGCATATTAAAATGTAAATTGATCTACAAAATAATTCAGTGTTTAGCTTTAGCAACATTGGCAGTTTGATTCAGACACTGGTCCTTAGCATGAGACTGACTGATGAAATTTTAAGGTGGTTTCATTTGACTGCAAATAATAAATTTTCTAGAAATAATTTCCATTAATGCATACAGGTAATTTTATTTGTCCTGCCAAGCTTTCAGTCAACATCGAATACTGTCTACGTAATGAACAAACTTATTATACTTTTTTTTCAGACTGTTAAGCAGTGTCATTTTAGAATGCTTTTTAGAGAATTGTTGAATCACTGCATTTGTTGCAAAAGTAAATCAAATACAGACCAGGATAAAAACACTGAACACAATTAAGCCATTGACCATCTGAGTGATCAGGAAATTTACCCTGAGTGACTAATTTTGTTATTAGGGCTGATATATTTCTGTCAGACACTATGTTGAAGCTCATGGATTACACAGGTGGTTAATCTTCATGCATCACAAATAACACCCTATAACATCAAATAACCTCAATGTTACATACAACATATTGTACTCACAGGTCCCTTGAGGCTTGATAATATTGATTTATAAATATCAAATGATAAACCTTGTCAATGACAATATGAGAGCTAGATTTTGAAATTCCTTATTCCACACTTAATAACAGCTTCCACATGATACATGTCTACTGACACGCTACTAAATTAAATACGTTATGTACCATGGCCTCAGATCCAGAATTCCACCTTAAGTGTACTTCTTCTCCTCTCCACCCCTCTGGAATGTCCATAACAAGTTGAAACCAATGTGTAGACCACCTGTAAAGCAAACAACAGTTATTGTTAAATTTCAAGACCATTAACTTGTTCTGATTTCCTGTTTAATAATTCACTGCCAAGCTAAAATTTTTAGAGAGGAAACCACATCAACCTTAGCCGGTTTTAATACAGGTCCTCTATAGTTATTAATAGCTTTAAACCCAAAATTAAATGAATAGATTATTACATGTAAATATTTGAAAATGAGAAAATATGCACATGGTGTATAATTATCTGAATTATTATACATTTGAACTCACTATCACTTTTCTGATTGGCCAAAAGCATACAGAGAATTTTTGAAATCAGCACCTGTGATGTCATCTAGCTGCAGGTTACACAATAATCATGTCAACTCTCAAGGTCATGGGTAATCATGTCACGTATGACTGCGGTGGATGATTTCTAAGGGTAATCATGTCAATGATTTCTAAAGGTTAAACCATGTCAAGTTTGCGTGCTTTGTGTTGCTTGCCGTCAGTGAAGAAGCAAAAACATGACTTCCATTTTTTTAGGTTCAATACATGTGTAATAAAACAACTATTACATTCAGTTTTTGTCAGTGATATCCAGAATAATCAGAGTCTTAGTAATGGTTATCAGCCTCTTGAGCCTTCGGCTTCGGCTGATAACTCTTACTGAGACCTTGATTATTCTGGATATCACAAAAAACCTCATCTAATAATTGTTTACTATACATTTTTGAATTAAAAACTCATGTCTTACGTAGGACCATAGATGTTTCCCACTTGAGCCTCAGCAAACTTTCCACTCACTGCTTCATTGTATGTGACTCTGCCAGGAGCTGCATAGTGAGTAAGAGAACTCAATGAGAGTTTCTTGGGATATAACCTGCAATAACAATAATATAGGCAGTGAGTAAGCTCAATTTTTTGAGACTCGACTGAGCTCTACAAAATTTCTTTATCACGACGAAATATTTTAGAGTATAGTCTCTCTCACAAGAGCTTTTCTTCAGCTTGGCTCATTGGACAACATAGCTGGAATGTGCGATGAAAAAGTTGATGAAATGGAAGATAGAGTCTGTGTGGACACTGCCAGGTTTTGTACTTTGAGACGAGGAAGTTAAGGCAAATTTGCTGTCCACATGACTGGATTTATGAATTTTTTCATTTTGTTTATTTTTGTTTTTAGAGCTTTTTCCTTGCAAATTTTGTTTTTAACCATTATATATCCTGGTTTCATACAAAAAATGCTGTTAATTATTTTCAAAAATAGAATCAGTTTTAAAGTGTTGAAAAATTTTATAAGAACTTGGAGCGGATAAAGGCCAATAAAAGATCTCATGAGGAATCGACTCACATATACTATCATAAATCAAAATGCGATCATGTAATTATTAGACTTGAAGGAGAATATGATCATAAATGATGGGAAACAGAGATGAACGTAAACATTGAAATATCAATCTAAAAATCACAAGCTGTGTTTATTTACCGCATTATTTCAGAGGGTTAGTGTGCTACAGGAAAAAACCTTGAAGCAACAGTGACATATGGCTTTATACAAAAAAACAACAGCGACATACGCTTTCACTGGTTAGGTGACAACAGCACACAAAAGGATGTGACATAGCAACACAGCCACCCCCTTGGAAGGCCTCATTGATCAGAATCACCCTCAAATTGGCTCTGCACTTGGAGTGATTTGGGGGAAGAAATATTTAGATATTTGACTGCAGGTGCACTTTTGTGGTTGAATCGGCTGTTGACCAATCTTTTTATTATATAATTTCATATCTTGCTTTAAGATTTGCGTCAGATTTCAGTTTTAGGTTGGCATCCGGTATCCCTGCTTGAGGGCATTATGGCATGCCATCAAAACAACATGAAAACTCGATGACTTGAGTCCAGAGAGGATAAATGACCATAAATGAAACCATAATTGAGATCTCAATTCGCGCATCGTGAACATATTGGATTTTAAAGGCAAAATAATGTACCGGTATGTACTGGAGGGTCATGACTTTGATCAATGTGTGCAATTAGAAAATCTTTAAGCTTATAATTACAACAAGCTTCAAGTTTGCTGGTGATGTGGCACTTATTAAATTCAGCAGATTCAGTCGTAAATGAAAACATTTCTGTTGTCCCAATATAATACAGACTCTTGAGAAAGACAATTTCAACATTAATAAAAGAATATTGTGCACTCATGAGATCGTATTCATCTAAAAATTTGTTTACTGAAAGTACCTTTCCACTCCACACAGCTTCGTACAGCTGGATCGAAATGACTTGGAACTACTTCGATCAGCTGATAAATATTCTCATTTATACTCATGAATCAATTCAACATCGTGTGTAACAGAAAACCATACCTGCTGAGCAAGTTAACATCCGCGAAAAATTGAGGAGATATAAATTTCTCTGCTCTCTCTAACGTGCATCGCCAGTTCTTTCTTGCACTATGATTGTCCGCCATTATTGTTCGTCACGTACTAAGACGTGACCAACACTGGACATGACATGGCAAACACCAAAGTCACGCAATCGACGCAATCGCTTATCGCCGTGGCCCGGTCCAGGCTCCAGTGAAGCGTTTCCAGCTAAAACTGGGGAATACCCGAGTGCCCAGGAGGTGGGGGGAGGGGAGGGGGGTGCTCCCACTACATGGGCTATATAGTTATGTGCGGCCCCAAAGGATAGCGTTTTTAACAGCCGTTTTGTCATAAATAGGGTATCGATTTTGGCCCTTTTGGTTATAAATAGGGTATGGTTTTAGCACTCTAGTCTTGAATGGCTGGTTTGCAGTGTCACGCCATCAAAAATAAACATATGCACACAAGGCGTGCAAGAGTTATTTTTTTGTGAACTATAAGTCTCGGAGATAGGAGCATTCGTGGAACTGTTTACAGTAATGATTTGGTTGATTTAACAAGTTTTTTTGGTTGCGATGTACAGCAAGAAAGAAACTGGGAGTTTATGATGTACATACGATGTTACATCGGTAATGGTAAGATAACTAAAT